GTATCCCAAAATTTTAAAGAGAGAACAACTTATATATATACCAAAAATAAGGTTAACTACTATGAAGGGATAGAGTATGACTCTTCCAGAAAGTGGTCGCTTTTCTGTTCAGAGAGTTGCTGCTATTCTTTTCTTCAATCTCCTGTTGAGTTCATAGGTGTTCAAAATGGTTTGATCCCTATCTAGCCAAATTCCTGGGACCAGATGAAATTTAGGTCTCCTACTACTCTGCCACCTTGCTCCTCCTCCAGATAGGGATGTTTTAATCCCAACAGGAATATAGGAGGGAAAGAGAGTTCAGAGGAAATGTTAAAAGACTTGATTTGAATTCACTTGAGCATAAGATTCGTTTGGGACACAATCTGATGTCCCAACAGTCTAAGGGAAAATCATTCCCCAGTTTTAGTACCTATCTTGTGAATGAAAATATATTATAACTTTGTTCAAATTTATGGCATCCATATTTTTGAATGCCTTAGAGGGATAAGAAAATTATTTATTCTCAAATCCATTTGAGATTATAACTGTAATTCACTATCTCTACAGCAGAAATGGGGGAGGTAGAAATAGGTTAAAAATAACTGGCTCCAAATATCTGGAATTGCAACTGGGGGAAAAAAAACAAGCAACCTAACTGTCAATCCAAGTTATCACCACAAATTTTATTACATGGTAGAGAAAATATAGACATGATATAATGTTATATAAGCTAGAATTGATTTAAATCTGTAAGAGTTTGGAGGTCATTGAGATTTGTTTAGATTTTTAATATTACTGACAGCATATTAGAAATGGCCAAGCTGATACAAAATACTATATCCAGCAAAAACTCATTACTTTTATGAAAATATTAAATTTCTGTAATCCCCTTCTTTCACAGACCTTCTTGAGGCAAACAAACAAACAAAAACGCTATTTCACTCACAAAATATTTTCTCCAAGTTTCCTTAGAACATTTGAAGAATGCTTTTCTTCTGTTTTCTTTAACAACACAAGAAAAATATACTCTTACCATCATGTGGTTTCTCAACACCACCCATATCAAAATCATCTTAAGTATTGGGCAACTGCAGATTTGGAAGGAAAAAAAAAAAAAAGCATTAGTCAATAGTCCATTGAAGTCCCAATTAAAGAAAATAATTTTTCTCTCTAACAGGAAAAAGATGATCTGGGATTTTGTGATTCATTGTGTACAGGATATAAATAAGTGATTTCTTCCAAGGTTTTGATTCCAGTGCAGTTTAAGATATACATAACCATTTCTGGGCTATTTTTGAAGGAAAATGAAAGAAATTCACTTTTTGTGTGATTTGTAGAAGTGGTTTTCAAAATCTCTTAAAGCAAACTGATGAGGCTTCTAAAAAAGGTCTAGGGATTTTGAGACTTGACTAACATTCAAGAATCTTGGAGTTTGTCCTCTGACTTCAGTACAGTGCACATACTAAGTTAATTCTGTGACATGAGGTCTTTGGGAAACTGGCTAAAATTGTAAAAAAAAAAAAAAGCTGAAATATCTTGAAAATATAAAAAGAATTAATCACCTCCAAATATATTTTCCAAGAGCAATAATGTATTATATAATTTTTACATATTTGAAAATAAGACAAAGCACTGTTTACCAATAGACTTCTGTCACCTAGCCACATATTTGAATACCATCCTGTCATAATTTCCCTTATACTTATCTATTTTGTTGATTATAAAATATGATCATAGACTGTAAGGTTGCTTGTAATCTTCACAGTGTAGCTAACCTCCCTATAGAAAATCACTAGGAAACAAATTACAGGTTAGATGCCAGCAGTATTCTAATAAAACAGCTCCTTAGTTTAATAATAGCAGCTCTAAATTGATGTGACTGCACAAAATACAAAAGATGCAGAGCTCAGGTGTGAAACTTCTAATTCACAAGAAACTGGGGGAGTCTTCATTTGACTCTTTATTATCCTTAATGAGAAGATGAAACTTATCACTGATGAATTTCAAGATTGCCTAAAGTATCTCCCAAGGAGTTATAGATAGAACCTATTTCAAAGTACTTGGTATTCACATAGATTAGGATCTTGCTCAAATACTTCAGTGTTACCCTTTGAGGAATTAGGAAAATCATTGAGAAAAATCATCTCGTCACTATAAAGCAACTACTCTGCTTAGGTTTATGGGACATGGCTTTGAGAAACTTAGTGAATGGGGATACATAGCATCTATGGGAAGTTAAGAGAGAAAAACAACCTAACATAGAACCAGGCACAACATTTCATAATGCAGACAGTAGATGTGATGGGAATGCCACTATAGGAAATATCACCATGGGGACTTTCAAGGAAGAGGTGCAGTATATAAATTCTGGGAAGGTGTGGGATGAGATTAGGGAGAGAAGCAAATCGGTAGATTATCCTGGCAGGGGAATACCAAAAGGAAAAGCAGAGGATTGAACCAGTATAGATGATAATGACAGCTAATGGAACAGGAGACAGTAGGGCTAGTTAGGAGAGATGAGGTCCAGCATGGGAGGATGAACCTTACAGCTTTGATCTATAAATTATGTCTGAGAGGCACCTATGGCATAAAAGTTAAGAGCTTAAGTTCTGAGACACTCTGCCTTACCAGCTGCTTGACTCTGGGCAAGTAATTTTCTATCCTCCAATTTCTGTATCTGTGTAATAGGGCTAATAATAATTTGTATCAATACAAGGGAAGTGCTTGCAAGTTTTTTTATTGTATCAAGACTGACATTCTTAGGGAGAGTATATATTTTATTAAACTAAACATGTTTCTCTGGCAGCAATGGTCAAGGTAGGTTAAAATGATGTGACTCTGGGCAGGTGAACCCAGGCAGCCTCTGTAGTAACCCACTGTTTCCCCTTAACTTCCATTATCCATTATCATTGAAACTGGAATACTGGTCTCAGAACTTTCATATTTAAGTATAAAAAATGATTTTTTATTTTCCCTATCTTGCTAACCAAGTGTTTGCATCCATCAGGCTCCTATTTCCAAGCTCTCTAAAACCAATAGCCAAATAAAAGATTTCATGACAAGCCGTCAGATTTAAAACCTGGATCTTCTAGATCCTCGCTACAAGAGTGTGGACACTTCATTTGACCTCAGTATTTTCTGATAAAGTTCTGTATCTATATTTGGGTGAAATTAATGACTTTGAGGAACATTATGGAAATCCACCAAAATGGAAAATTTCTTTGGATTCTGGTACTATGCATGATAAATTGGGAGTTTTGTTACTACATTTAACCTTTAGCACATCTTTCTTTAAAATATAGATTCAAATATAAAATCTAGCCTTTGCAGACATTGTACTAATTTGTTACAGTCAGCCTTTTTAACCCATAAGGCTTTGAGTTCATAAAAGGGACATGAATTACAAGATGAGATCTAATATTTCCATCATTGGTACACATAATTTCTTTCCAGATTTTTTTTGTACTCATGAGGGAAAACGTCTGTGCACAGTGCAGATTCAATTGCTAAAAATTTCAATGAGAAACAAGAAATACAGAAGTAAAAAGTAAATGTGTCATACATGTTTATTTCAGGTAAATATCATTTTCCCTTCATCTGAAATGAGTTTATCTTTTAAACTTGAGCAATTTGGCAGAACAAATAGATTCTTTTCTTTGAAACAAATCCAAGTTATTTATGTCAAATATTCTACCTATTAGAGGTATTGGGAACTGTAACAGTTGCCAATAGATATGATAAAGAAGAAATAAATGATGTTCAGTTTCGGATTTTAGCTTCTTACTAGACTACAAAGTCAGAGTTACTTATTTTTCATGTACTGTCATCATTGTTATGTTGATCTAATCTATGTCCAATAAAGATATGATCAGGAACTATTGCAGAGCCCACCAACTTTGTGGCATTCATCAATCTGCTGACATTTTTCCACTTAGAAGCCCTTAAAAGCAGACTATGACTGATGCTTTATAATTTCTTAAAGAGAATTTATAAATTTCTCCTCTCTGCTTTGCCTTAGGAATATTTCAGAAATGCCCGGTCTAACGTTTCTAGAAGTTACCACAACTGCCAGAGCTGCCTCAGTAACTACGTGAAGCCTCACTTGAGCTTGTCGCCGGTCTTTTAAGGAAAAGCTCAGGACAAAGAGAACATAATCTAAATAACCGATGGCAGGGCTTTAGAAAGGAAATTCTTAATTCCTTTGTAATTCGTATTCTTTTTATGAACTCAACAGAAATAATGCTATAAAAAATGGAGAGATGCCTATGTATAATATTAAGACTTTTGTAGAAGCATGTTGGAAAATGAAGTTCCTATTAATAAAATACAAATAATTTAGCTGCCACAGCTGGAGATCTCTAACTGCAGCACATCTTTCTGTAATTGCTCTAATCCTTGTGTGTTCCCTTGCTCTTTTTGCAGGCAGACCAGTAATGATTGTGGTGGAATATATGGAGAATGGATCCCTAGACTCCTTTTTGCGGGTGAGGTGTTTTCTGATGGCATTTGAATAAGCTATTCCGAGTTCTAGATTTAAATCATTTATCATAATTAATTTTTGCATAATGTTATTCATGGATTTTTCCATGAAGAATAGCAGCATTTTCTCTAGGGTGCATTTCTCTGAAACTGTGATACGTTAGTGTGTTACTAACGGGAGGAGTATATACACATAATAATATAATTGATTTCTCCTATAAATTCATATGCCATATTTATATATGTATATATATTTCAAATGATGTTATAAAGAGAGTAAATGAAACCCAGTTGCCTCACATAAACATTCATTTTGCTTTTATCACATTTAACTATTCAGTATGATGCTTTATGCAAGATCTATACTGCTGACCCCCTTAAATTGATGTGTATTTACCAATAATGACTCAAGTTCATATCAGAAAACTGGTTTTATCCCTCTTAAATTCATTTGCCTGACTTTCAGGAAAGAAAAGAAATATGACAGGGCGCCTGGGTGGCTCAGTTGGTTAAGCGACTGCCTTCGGCTCAGGTCATGATCCTGGAGTCCCTGGATCGAGTCCCGCATCAGGCTCCCTGCTTGGCAGGGAGCCTGCTTCTCCCTCTGACCCTCCCCCCTCTCATGCTCTCTGTCTCTCATTCTCTCTCTCTCTCAAATAAATAAAAATAAAATCTAAAAAAAAAAAAGAAAAATATGACAAAACTCTAGCAGAGATCTGTTTCAGAACAAAAATTTTTAAAGCACTCTTTGTAAAGTGACTTATCCAAGTGCTCGCTTCGGCAGCACATAGACTAAAGTGACTTATCCTTGAGGGTATGGTGTGTACAAAAATCACTTGTGTTATATAGTAGAAGAGATTAACAGAGCTGAGAAGGTACCATGAAGTTATATTTCAAATATATTTATAATGTCTTTAATATTTAAAAAGTTATCATATGTTACAAAAGTATTCATTGATAATAAAAACCAGAAATATAAAAAATAATCACTACAATAAATATTTTTCATCCCCAGCAGGGGTCACATATTTGAAGTCACTATATTCTTAAATATTTATCTATCTACAGAGACATGGCCATTTCTCTTACTTATCCCTGGACTTTTGCTATTTGGAACGTGTTACACTATTTTTTTAATTGTTTTATTTTATTCAGTTAGCCAACATATAATACATCAGTGTTACACTATTTTTTATCTTCCTTTTCATGTGATAAAAATGGTCTTGAGCATTCTTTCTTCACTTTATTTTTTGTTCTATGTTACTTGATCAGGTTCTGCATTTCACCTTTCTTTTTTTATCTCATTTTCATTTATTTTTCCTGAGTTCATGCCCTCTTCTTCCAACCTCTCTCAATATTAGCAGTGATGATATGTTTACCCTGCGCCTGGACTTGATGTCCAGATTCAATGCCAGAAGCTGAATTCAGCAAAATCGTCCAATTATTACAGAGCAATACTCCTCGCACAATGCAGACTCTCAACCAAGTATGCTCTTTAAGGCAAAATGAAATTCATAGGTATTTGGGGACACGAACTATTTGTTTTTTGGTTTTTTTCTGTAGCCATTCTCAGAATGTTATTTTATCGCTTGTATTCATTTCTCCTGTAAATGTGCTAAATTATTTTAGAATAATTTATCAGGACCACCTATGGTACTTGAAATGCATATATAGTTAGGCCCTTCCATTATGTTTATTCTAAAGCTCTTTTTTATCAGACACATACCAAAAAGACTTATTCTCTAATGATGCTTGGGATATGTTTTGGGGTTTTTTTTTTATCAACTGTATCCTAGAGCTGAATATAATGGCAAATAATGTCGCACATACTCAATCTAAATTGCTGCTGAAAATTGGATCGAATGACTGCCTGCCACAGCAAATTAGGAGAGAATTGTGAGCTTCAGATATACTTTTTTATCCTGATGAATCCTGAATTAATTAAAAGACATTATAAAGAAAAGATAATATGTTATCAATAAAATATTTATTTGTAAATATCCTACTACATGTTTATAAGTGGTATACCATTACCTCTGCTATGAGAATCTTAATATTTGTTAGCTCACCTTGGCTCGTCACTTTATCAGCGGCGCGACCTTGTGACTTGGGCAAGTTACTAACTTGCGTGTGCCTCTGTTCACTTAACTATAAAATGGGAATATTAACAGCATCTACTGCATATAAGTGTCGAGAGGATCCATTGAGTTGATTATTGTAAGGCTTATAGAATAATACATGACGTATTGTAAGTGGTAGAGTGAAGATTCAAACTCAGGCCCCTGACTCAAAGCAATGTTCTCATACACTTTTTTTTTTTAAATCAAACTACTTATTACTTCTTTTTAGAAGCTCACCGTCATCTCCCCATGTGAACCTGTGTCCTGTCTGCACGTAGAATTTCTATTAAAATAAACATAATTGCATGAGAAAAAAAATCCACAGGGCCCAATATTCCCTTCTTACCCTTTTTTAATATTCTTACCTTTCTTTGTAATCCTCTCTCTTTAACCCCAGAAGCTCAAAGTGCTATATAAACTTTAAGTCAGTAGCAGACACTCAGCTCCCCATGGCAAGCAGAAATAAAATTTATAAAGATATATATCCTACAAATTCTCAAAAACGAAGTCATTTTTCAAACTACTGCTTTAGAATTTAATAATCGCAGCTTCTGTGAGCACAGAGGAAGTGGCTAAGTGCATTGCGTTGTAGGGAAGCAATCTGTGGCTCATTAATAGCATTCTGTGCTTACTAGAAGCAGAAAAGATTTCCCCTTGGTCTCCCACATATTTGAAAATCACTTCAGTTTACTGTTTTATATGAAAGAGTGGTAGCAAAACCAAGTACAAAATTACAATCTAGTGTCAGTGGTGGTGGCTGGCTGTGATGTTGCACTAGATTCATAAATCGTCTACTGTTCAGCATCCTTATGGACATTCCTCCAGGTATATATTGGCAAGAGCTGGTGTGGTTAAGTGTCTGTGTTTGTGTGTGTGTGCATGCACATATGTGTGTGTGTGCACGCGTGCACGCAGAAGGGATGTGGGTGGGTATGTAACTATATGTGTATTTTTAATTTTAAAATAAAATGCATCCTGACTTAGCAAGCAGAGCATCGGCTCTGCTGCCTGGAATGTATGACCTCACTGATGGGCAAATATTCCTAACTTTTCCAAGTGTGGATTAAGTATAATCTTGGCCATCATCCATGTATGGTTTCTCTCAAACTATGCATATGGATTTCATAAACACTTTTTGTAGCACCTACCTGGCAACTGCTTGCCCTTAAATCTTTGGGCTTCCATTTTTTATAACAATATTAAGCAATTCAAATAAAAACAGTTTTAAAATACTTAAAAACTTTGAGATACCATATGCCAACCACAAAAAGTTATTCCTTTATTTTATAATATTTGTTGAATGTGGATTTGTTTATCAAATCACACAATTCAGTTATGTAAAAATATAATACCACTGGTTTCGGTATAAGATGTTATATTGTATATGTTCAGGCTACAGCCTCTTGTTGCCACCTCAAATCCTTTGATATGAGAGAAAAGATACAGATACATTATTTGCAAAGCACAAAGAGAACAAGGGGGGGATTAATAAAAACAAAATCCAACAAGATCAGATTGGGTAAGGAAACCATATTTCAAAACATAATTGGAAAAGGATGCCTAGGAGCAAGAAGAATGTGTGGAAGGTGGTGCTACAAACTGATTTGAAGAAACAGAGTAGGAATAGGATGGGCTGGTCGTTGGGAGATGCTGAGTTTCATTTGGCTTGTATTCCACTTGAGATGTCTATGGAACATTCAGTGAACATGTCCAGACAGCAATTAGAAATACAAATCTGAAGCCGAGGAGAAAAATACTGACTGAAGTTAAAGATCTGGTAGCCAGTAGCATAAAAGTGGTTATTAAAGCCAAACCATATTTTCTTTTTTTTAAGATTTTTTTATTTATTTATTTGAGAGAGAGAGCACATGAGAGGGGAGAGGGTCAGAGGGAGAAGCAGGCTCCCTGCCGAGCAGGGAGCCCGTTGCGGGACTCGATCCAGGGACTCCAGGATCATGACCTGAGCCGAAGGCAGTCGCTCAACCAACTGAGCCACCCAGGCGCCCGCCACACCATATTTTCTAGGAAGAACTTTTAGAGAAAGACAAGGAGCTGAACAAGGTTGGAACTCTGTGGCATGCCAACCTGAGGAGGCAGCAGGGTGGTGTCTCCAAAGGTGACTAAGAATAAATGGTCAAAGAGGAACAAGGAGGGAGGTGAGGACATGGAATCCTGCACACCAGGCGAGAGCAAATAAGCAACTGTATCAAGTGCAGCAGAGAAGGTCAGAAAAATGAAGACTGAAAAGCATCTATGGGATTTACCACTTATGAGGTCTTCTGTGATCTCAAGAGCATGTTTAATGGGTTGGTCCCAGGCAGAAGTCAGAATGTATAGGGCAAAATGAGAATGAAAGATGAATAGGAATTGGGGTTCTGGGGTTTGTTTGGTTGGGTTTTTTTTGTAAAAAGTGCGTGAGATAGCAAGTCAAGAGAAAAATCAGATGCTAGTAGACAAAAAGAAACATGAAGACTATTTTTTAAATAGAAAGAAATTTAGACAACTTATACACTGGGGGATAGGGAATTAAAGAAAATACATTGATGAGGCCAACTATCTCAGGAGATGGGAAGGTACAAAATCAAGGACCCTGGTAAAGGATTAATTTTGAATAGTAGAGGCCTCCACATCTTCCAAGGCTCATGGGACTGTGTGTTGTCAATCCAGAGAGAGGTATGAGAAGCATTAAATTGAAAGAAATGATACCTGATGTTGTTGCATTTCTATGTGAAGTAGGAGGAGAGTTTATTTGGAAGTTTGAGAACAAACCTTCATTTAAAGTGAATGTTTAGAATAATTGCCGAAGTTAAAAAGAAAAGTAGCTGATCACTGATCAGACCAAAGGAAAAAAAGCGGGGGGAGCATCAAGAGCAGGTTCTGGACCA